CGACTACCTGGAACGAAAATCGACTATCATCTACCTGGAACGCAGAACGACCACCACCTGTAGCACATGAACCACTGCACGTCGCAGGTGGCGTGATGTCATCTGCACACCGCACCATAAGACAGGAGTCTTGGGAAATCATTATTTCCAGGTTGCAGGGGGGGTCATGACGTTGAGGAACGAAAACCTCAAGGACGGCATCTGCAGACTACACCACAGGACGAACGAAAAGGCTTCTTCCGGCATCATGGGGACCAAAAATTGACATCGTCTGCCTACTGGAGCACAGAACCACTACCAGGAACGCGGACCGTGAAGCTCGTATATTTACTGTTGCAGGTCGCAGGAGGCGTGATCATGTCGGGGACAGGAAAGAACGGCATCTGCAAACTGCATCATCACAAGACAAGAAGCTTGGACACCAATCTTTGCAGGTTGCAGGGGTTGAAACAACGTGGAGAAAGTATAATCAAGGACATAATAATCTGCAGACTACACTGCAGGACGAACGCAATGCTCCATTTGAAACTACGAGGAAACCAAACGCATCGTCCGCCTGCCAGAGTACAAAACCATCTGAAACGCAACGACTACTCTCTGGAACGAAGACCGACTACTACCTGGAACGCAGACCGACAACTACCTGGGACGCACACTGAGTATAATAAACCCGTTCCAGATCGCGGTGGCTGATGATGTTGAAGAAAGAAAAAGGACGTCATCTGCAAACTGCACCACAAGGACAAGCAGCTTCGAGACGAACATTTGTAGGTCGCGGGCGGCGTCATGACGTTGAGGAACGAAACCCTCATGGACATCAACTACACCACAAGACGAACCACAACCTCCATCTAAGTTGGTCATGGCGAAAAAGCAAAAAGACACAATCTGCCTACTACAACGCACGACCACTACCGGGAACTCAGACCGACTACATGGAAGGCAAACCGACTACCTGGCACGCAACCCGACTACTACCTGAAACGCAAAACGACCATGTAGTATATAAACCGTTGCAGGTCGCAGGTGGCGTGATGATGTGGAAGAAGGGAAATGATGTCATCTGCAAACCACATCACAAGACAAGTCTTGGGAAATCATTGTTTCCAGATTGCAGGGGACGTCATTACGTTGATGGAAAACCTCAAGGACAGGATCTGCAGACTACACCGCAGGACGAACGAAAAGGATTCATCAAGCATCATGAGTACCAAAAATTGACATCGTCTGCTTACCGGAACAGAAAACCGCTACCTGGAACGCAGACCGACTACTACCTGGAACGCAGACCGACCACTACCTGGAACGCAGACCGACCACTACCTGGAACGCAGACCGACTATTTAACTGGATCGCATACCGACTACAGTACTTGGAACACGAGAAGCTCGTTAAGTATTTGCGGGTCGCAGGTGTCGGGATGATGTTGAGGAAGGGAACGTACGTCAACTGCAAGCAGCACCACAAGACAAGCAGCTTGGGAAAGGAACCTTTGCTTGTCGCAGGGGGTGTCACTTGAAGGAGGAAAACCTCAAGGATGGCATCTGCAGACTACAACGTAGGACAAACGAAAATGCTTCATCCGGCATCATGAGGACCAAAAACTAACGTCGTCTTCCTACTGGAACACAGAACAACTTCCTGGAACAGGGACAGTGATACTTGTATATGAATCGTTGCAGGTCGCAGGAGGCGTGATCATTGAGGAGGGGAAAAGAACATCATCT